TTGAGTGAATACATGAATTGAGTGAGAGAATTAATGAGTGGGTGAATTCATGAGTGGGTGAATTCATGAGTGAATGAATGATTGAATGTATGGGTGAATTAATGAGTTAGCAAATAGGGAGTCAGGACATGTGTGTTTGACGGGTATGAGGAGGCATCCTCTCCATTCTTCCTACTGCTGGAAGCCCTTTCTCTGCCCTGCTTGGCTTTATTCTCCCCACTTGATTTGACCTCTGAAGCTGAGATGATGTAGGGGGGCAGGTGCTGTTTCCTGCAGGGAAAGGGGAGAGGGAGCAACTGTTCTGAAGAAGAAGAGAGGCTAGATTTGGTGCCAGGAGACCTGGGTTTAGGAACTAGCTCGGTCAGTATTCCAATAGATTTATTTACATCTGTCTCTTCTCAGGGCCTCAATTTCACCCTCTATAAAATGGAAAGATGACCCTGGCTTAGTTTTCTTTCTTTTTTTTTTTTTTTTTTGAGACGGAGTTTTGCTCTTGTTACCCAGGCTGGAGTGCAATGGCGCGATCTCGGCTCACCGCAACCTCCACCTCCTGGGTTCAGGCAATTCTCCTGCCTCAGCCTCCTAAGTAGCTGGGATTACAGGCACGCGCCACCATGCCCAGCTAATTTTTTGTATTTTTAGTAGAAACGGGGTTTCACCATGTTGACCAGGATGGTCTCGATCTCTTGACTTCGTGATCCATCCGCCTCAGCCTCCCAAAGTGCTGGGATTACAGGCGTGAGCCACCGCGCCTGGCCCTGGCTTAGTTTTCTATTGGCCAGGAGAAGACTTTGAGGGAGGGAGCAAGAGGCAGCCCCCAACAACCCACACTTTGAGATTTGATAAGGGGCTGAAAGAGATCAAATACTGGTGGGTTTCTCCCGCGCCTACCTCGGGAATATCTGATCTGGCTCCACCGGCCTTGAGGGAAGTGCAGAGGTGGGCAGAAAGGGAAGATCTGACTAAGGGATGAACACAGAAGAAAAGTGGAGGGCAGCTCGGGGAGGAGCCTCCTGGAGCCGAGCCCAGGTCCCTGCCACTTGCCTGGCACCTATGGCAGGCCACAGGTACAGCTACTGCCCACGCAACCCAGTAATACGTGACCTCATCCACTCTGAGGCACACTTCCACATTGCTTAAAGAGGAATGTGAGGCTGGGCGTGGTGGCTCATGCCTGTAATCTCAGCAGTTTGGGAGGCCGAGGCAGTCAGATCACCTGAGGTCGGGAGTTCGAAACCAGCCTGACCAACATGGAGAAACCCCATCTCTACTGCAAACACAAAATTAGGCGTGGTGACACATGCCGGTAATCCCAGTGACTCAGGAGGCTGAGGCAAGAGAATCACTTGAACCTGGGAGGCAGAGGTTGCGGTGAGCCGAGATAGAGCCATTGCACTCCAGCCTGGGCAGCAAGAGCGAAACTTTGTCTCAACAACAACAACAACAACAAAAGGTGGGGGTATGTGATCAATGGCATGTCAGAATTTCACTGATAACAAAAATAACAATGCATTTTTCTATAGATGATATCTTAGAATCAATCAAATAAGGTCTAGAATCAATACCGTGCCACAGCCTTGACCCGTTATACACAAGAACTGCTAGGTAGACAGCCTGCAAATGATGACCTGCTAGATACACGAGCCACGACATATCTGACTGACCAAATGTTCAACCTGCATGACTGCCTAGGAGGCACATTCTAGATTCACATCCCACTGCATTATAACCTACCCCATAAGTAAATCTATCCACTCATTACGGAAATTGCATAACCTCTTACATACATGAGTCATTTCCACCCTTAGTCAACGCCAAACAATATGTTCTAGATACACATTCCTCATATAAACGATGCACCACCTATAAGATCTGCTGGCTCTGTGACCTCAGGCAAGCCATTATTTCTTTTGTTCTTGTTGTTCATCGTTACTGCATAGTTTATTTAAACCAAGCTATGATAATACAGAGAAGACTGAGGTGGCAGCTGCCCAGAAACTTTGTGGATTACAGATGCAAAGTAGCCGGAGATGTGTCCTTGCACCCGCAGTTCAGTAACAGACAGACAAGTCAGTTACGTTTACATAAGTACAGAGAACTTAATACACATGACACCGCACATCCATCTTTTTGCTTTGTATTTCCATTTTAAACATATGTATGCCACCACTTTATATTTTAAATATGACTCCATGTATTTTGTGCCAATGGCTGGGAATGAAATGATCTCATGTCCCTGAAACAGGCAGACTTTGGTCTGCAATGCAGAATGTTTTCATTGGGATACCAAACAATCCTTAACACATAAGAGACAAAAAAAAATCCTTAAAAATCAGCTTAATACAATGTTCTTCATGTTAGATGAGGAGGAAGAATAGGACGTGGGAAAGGAAGAGATTGGGGTGCTTTAAATGTATGGTATCTGGAGATCTTGAAAGTTTCAGCCGGGTGAGGTAGCTCACGCCTGTAATCCCAGTAGTTTGGGAGGCCAAGGTGGACAGATCACTTGAGATCAGGAGTTGAAGACCAGCCTGGCCAACATGGAGACTCCATTTTCACTAAAAATACAAAAATTAGCCAGGCGTGGTGGCATGTGCCTGTAGTCCCAGCTACTTGGGAGGTTGAGGCAGGAGAATTGCTTGAACCCAGGAGGTGGAGGCTGTAGTGAGCTGAGATTGTACCACTGCACTCCAGCCTGGGTGACACAGCAAGACTTTTTTTTTTTAAAGAATGTTTCATTCAGGGGATGAAGAGATGTTGGTTCATGGATACAAAAGGAATAAGATCTAGTGCTTATAGCACAGTAGGGTGATCAGAGTTAACAATCATTGATTGTTTATTTCAAAATAGGTAGAAGAGAAGATCTGAAATGTCCCCAACGCAAAGAAAGGACAGATGTTTGAGGTGATGGATATCCTAAACGCTTTGATTGATCATGACACATTATATGCATGTATCAAAACACATGAACTCCATACATGTATATAATTATTATGTATCAATTATAAAAAGTTTCATTCCCTTCCTCCAAGGGAATTTTTTTTAACTAATGGAGAAAAAGAAAGCAGCTTCATAACACTCTCCAATGAGGAAGAACATGATCCTGACAATGCTCAGATGCTTTCATATGAGCACATAATAAATACAGCAAGTCACAGAGCAAATGTCACAGTATTGGTTTGGTTTTTATTTCTATGCTTATAAAAAAATAAGCTTCTTTCTGTGGACTGAATGGATGTGAGCCTGTGGGTGTTGGTCTCTGGTCCTGTATACCAGTGACTGTTTATATTCCAAGCCCAGGGCCAGCAGTCTGCACAAAGCAAGTTATTATTTCGAAGCCTCAGTTACTCTTTCTGTAAAATGGGTCTAACTTGTAGTTCGTTGTAAAGATTAAATGATGGCGTGAATAAGGTTCTTAGCTCCCCTTCCTCCTGACCTCTCTTTAGGGGAAAAAACCACAGACGTTGAAGTCAGATAGACCTGGGTTAAAATCCAGGCAGTGTCCATGTACCAAACTCTGTGACCTCAACTTCTACCTCTCTCAGCTTTAGTTTCAGCATCAGAAAAACTGGGTTGATACCCTCTTCGCAGGGATGGTTCAAGCATTAAGCAACTGAGCGAAGGCGCACAGTACAGCAGTAACAGTTACTGTCATTGGTCATTGACTCCAAGACACACTGGCCACATAATCAGTCGAAATCAGGACCCCTGTTTAGGACAGCTCCAGGTACCGCACGCCCAGCCATGAACAAGCTCTGGCCTCAGTGCCATCGACTTAGCAGCCGTTCTTTACCTCTGCTCACCTGCTTTGGGCTGTCAGGCCCCAGTTCAAGAGGGAGCAGATCCTGGGAGACAACAAAGGACCTCGGGGCTCACCAAGAGATCCAACTGAGATGGGAAGGAGGGATTGCCCTGGGCAGCCTGCAGTCGGGGAGGCAGAAGCAGAGAGCTCGTGCCTCTGCTGTGGACAGTGGTAAGGGTGCTGCCACTCTGAACCACATTGTTTCTCTTTTACATTTTAATAAGGTCTAATATTTACAGAGAAATTTTGTGCTAGCCTTGGTGCCAAAAACCTACTCTTCTCATATTATCTGCCCATTGAGATAGGGGCTATTGTCATCCCCATTTTTTCTTGTTTTTTTTTTTTTAGATGGAGTTTCGCTCTTGAGCCCAGGCTGGAGTGTAATGGCATGTTCTCGGCTCAGTGTAAACTCGGCCTCCCGGATTCAAGCGATTCTCCTGCCTCAGCCTCCCAAGTAGCTGGGATTACAGGCATGTGCCACCATGCCTGGCTAATTTTGTATTTTTAGTAGAGACAGGGTTTCGCCATGTTGGTCAGGCTGGTCTCGAACTCCTGACCTCAGGTGATCTGCCCACCTTGGCCTCTCAAAGTACTGGGATTACAGACATGAGCCACCACACCCGGCCTGTCATCCCTATTTTAAAAATGACAAAATTGAGGCTCAGAGAGGTGAAGTGACTTGCCCAAAGCCACACAGCTCATAAGGGAGGGGCTGTCATTTGAACCCATGTCCTGCCTCCAGAGCTTGAGGGCTTCACCCCTCTATGCCCTACTTGGATCATGACTCCTGGAATCCCAGAAAGGATTTCAGAATTCTAGGGCACTGGCGCTGGTGGCTTCACTGCCTTGGTCTTGCAGGGGAACTCGGGGACCTGAGAAGTAAAGCACCTTGTCCCTGGGCACAGGCAAGGCAGGTGTAGGGGTATCCTCCACACACCCAGGGCTGCCCGGCGACTTCGCGTCCCCTGGGTGCTCACCACGCCGCTATCTCCTGTCTTGTCCTCCCCACCTGCCACTCCGGGAGCGGTGTAGGAAAAACTGGGACTTATCAAGACAAAGAACAAAAGTCGTGGAGGAAAGAAGCCAAGAGCCATCTCCACTGTGGGGTAGGGCCCTTCAGTTTCGCCCCTTTGAAATTTCAAATTCCAGTTTGTGGACAAAGTCCTAACTATCTCACAATATAGGTCCCCAACCACTGACCAAACTCCAGTCCAGGCAGCCACCTGGCCCGAGGCTAGCCTGGCCTTGCTGCTTCCTTTAGCGGCTTCCAGGCTCCAGGAACAGGGGGTCTGGGCCACCTAGGGGCTCTGTCACAGCCACAGCCACCCCACAGGACCCCTGTCTCCCATCTGAGAGGACAGCCCTCTTCCTGGAGCTGGGATCTGGCGCTTGCTGACACCAACAGCGGATACCAGGTAGGTCCCTTCCCTTTCTCTTCCCTTCCCTGAGTTCCTAAAATACTGCTCATACCACCCTCTGCACCTTGGGCGCAGGCCACTGTGGCTTAATCAAATCAGGCACCCACAAAACTTCAAGACCGAAGGGATGCCTTGGCTAACCCACCCATTTTGTGGACGGAAACACTGAGGCCATCAGGGGAACGGTAGCTGGCCACAGACTGAACCATAGACTGGGGTCCCAGACCTGGGGCCGCTCAGGGAGCCTCAGAGGGTGAAAGGGACTTGCTGAAAGCCACGTAGTGGCGGTGGGGTGAGCGTCATCTTAACAATGAGCCCTTTCTGCTTCATCGCAACTCTCGTGAACCCTGGTAGCACCTCCTACCGACCGTGAGTGGCGTTGTGTTTGTTCACCCGATGACAGGTGGCCACTGGGTTGCCACAGGAGTATTTCCAAGAGGAAGATGAGGGAGCTCGGGGCTGAAGGCCAGTGGGTTTGGAAGGAAGCAACATTCATGTGGTTAACTGATAACTGGGCCCCATCCCTGGGCCTCGACTGGCCTCCTTCCTCCCTCCCTCTCCTCAAGCCTGATTAAGACCAACTTACCCAGCTGCTAATCATTGCTGAGCCTGTTGATTTTGCCTTAAAAAATTAACTGGGCATGAGTTTGCGGTTTTGCTCACCCCTAACCCTGAAAAGGCCTGGGTGGGCAGGAGGCCTCCAGGGTTATGCAAGAGGCCGCTGGCCTCCCAATGCATATCCCACGGCCACCTCGGCTGCCCTCCAAAGAGGAGGTTTTGCTCAAGAGTCAACAGTCTGCTTGTTCCCCCTGTGCTGGGTCCTGAGCAAATTTGCTCTGTTACCAAAGAGAGATAAAGGCAGCTGGGGGAGAGCTTTCCAAACAGGGATGGAAAGCGGCGGCTTTGAGCTTGGGGTTCTAGAACTCTGCAGTGTCAGAGCCGGGAGAATCTTTGGGAGGATGTGGGCTGGGCTTGCCAAGCCACGTTCCAAGGCTCCCAGGAGCTATAGAGTGTGTATCCACAGACCCAGCTTCAACCGGCGACTCCCTTTTATATGGAATCTTCCTTAAGATCTTATCTGAGGGTTGGAAAACCACTGATGCGGCTTCATCCCCTCCTTGCACAGATGGGGAGATGGAGATCAGAGGAGGAAGTGACTTGTCCAAGGACAAAGGTCACCTGGGTATTCTGGGCTGCAGCAAGCATGGTGGGCTCTCTATGGACCCGAGCGATGCCTTGAAGGACACTGGTGAACAAGATGGCTCTGCAAATGCCTTGCCATGCCGTTCTCCCCTCCTCCCAGGGCTGGCTGGAAGCAGAGAGGTGCCTGAGAGCCGCTGGAAGGCTCACGTCAGGGGAGTCCACCTGGCTCTGTGTCCCCTGGGCCCTGTGAGGATGTGCGCAGCAACCAGGTGCTGCAGACCAGAGACTACGGTTATAATCCATCTCAGCCACGTCCTGTCTCTGGAGGCATCAGGCCCTGGAGAAAGATGCAGAGCCCTGCCCTGACTCTTTCAACCTCTCCGAGCCTCAGTTTCTTCACCTGTAAATTGGGAATGATACTACTTCTAGGGTTGTCATGAGAATGCAAATGGGGCAAAATACACACATTGATCATCATGGCCAATGGCTATGCAGCTGTTTCAGGGGCTTTGCGCCTGTTCCCTCCTTGATCCTCCCAGCCACTCTGGGAGGGAAGCAACATTTTTACCATCATTTTACACACCAGAGGCACAGAGAGGTTGAGTTATATACCCATGCTCACACAGCTGATGAGAAACAAGAAGTCGAATTGGAACCTGGGCAGTCTGGCTCTAGAGTCGGTGCTCCTAACTCCAGGGCTACCCTGCCCTTCCACGGTTGCCACATGGTAAGTGCCAGTGAGAGGTGGCCAGGAGAAGGGCAGAGAGCAGGGCACTGTGGGAGATGCTGACTGCAAGGCTCCGGAGGAAGGGCAGAGTATGGTCTGGAGAATGATCAGGAAGGAAGCCAGGAGGACTTGGGCCTGTGTGGGTGGGGCGTCCCTGAAGGCTGCCTCCTGCCAGGTGGCTTGTGACATCTGGGCCGAGGGTGGTGTTGTCCTCCTGTTTATGTTCCTGAATTTATCTGCAGGGGTGACCTTGGAAATTAGATGTGGCCTTCCCAGACCTTGCAGGGCCTGACGGTTGATGGTAGTAGCCCCTGCCTGACCCAGACTCTGGTTTGGGGAGTGAGGGAGGAACCCACATCCCAGAAGCCACCCTCGGTCTCCCCATCCTCTTGTTCTGAGAGGCCCCAGGGATTTTCCAGGTCACTAAGGTGAGGTGTTTTGAAGTCCTGAGGCTCAGGCCAGAGTCACTGCCCTGTACAGTTGTGCAGGTTGCTCACTGCACAAAGGTTCTCCAGTCAAGAGGGTAAGTGGGGGTGGAAATCCAGCCCTTGTTCCACTTGCCAAGCCAAGTACCCATGGAGCTCTGCCTGCCCAGAGTGGGATGCCTTTTTCTTATTTGCACAAGGGCTTCATGTGAGCTGCTGGGTGCCCTGCCCCAGCTCTGGTTCCAGCCACTGTGTGTCCTTGGGCAAGGACACTTCCCTCCCTAGCCTTGGTTTCCCACTGGAGAAGTTTTGTCAAATATAAAGCAGACTCAATCCTGAAGGTGAAACAGAATCATCTGAAAACTTTAAAATATACAGATGTTGACTGAACGTGGTGGCTCACACCTGTAATCCTAGCACTTTGGGAGGCTGCGATGGGAGGATTGCTTTGAGCCCAGGAGTTTGAGGCCAGCCTGGGCAACATAGTGAGACCCTATGTCTATTTTATCTGAGACAGAGTTTTGCTTTTATTGCCCAGGCTGGAGTGCAATGATGCGACCTTGGCTCACCACAACCTCCGCCTCCCAGGTTCGAGCAGTTCCCCTGCCTTAGCCTCCCGAGTAGCTGAGCTGGGAGGCACCACCACACCCAGCTAATTTTGTATTTCTAGTAGAGACAGGGTTTCTCCATGTTGGTCAGGCTGGTCTTGAACTCCCGACCTCAGGTGATCCGCCCACCTCAGCCTCCCAAAGTGCTGGGATTATAGACGTGAGCCACCAGACCCAGCCCCTGTGTCTATTTTTAGAAAAGATATTTTAAATTAAACACAGATGCCCAGTCCTATCACAGACCAATGATCAAATCTTAGGATGGGGTGGGAAGGCACCAGGTATCTGTATTTCTGTGCAGCCAATATCGAGACCCACTGTAGGAGGGCTTGAAATTTGAAGCTGGAAAGTCTTCGATGGCATCCAAGTCTACCACTTACTATAACTTCCTACTCAAAACTGCAGCGAGGCTCAGTTTTCTCATCTGTTAAGTGGAATGATGACAGCTTCCTCACAAAATCCAAATGCCAATTAAATGAGATCATGTTAGACGGTGCTTGGCACCATGTTCCCCAGGTAGGAAGCTCCTGGTTCTTGCTACCAAGACTATTATTGTTATCGGCTATTTGACGTTGACAAAATAAAGGGCCTTTCTAGGCCAAGGATTCAGTGACTTGAAGACAGGCCTTCTCTGTTCCTTTGAGTCAGTTTCTAGTAGCTGGGTCTAACTCCTGGCTGCACACCTGTCATATTATTGAGATATGTGTTACTATTATTATTTAATATCTTAATTTGTTGACATCTTTCCATTTAGTTTTGAATTGGTACTACATTCACATGGCTCAGAATCAAAACATAAAAGGTGTAAATTGAGAAGTGTTGCTTTCAGTCAGTATCACAACTTGAAGGTGTTTCCATAGCAGCTGAGAGCAATCTTTGAGGAAGGAGGGGTTATTGCCTCCATCACAGATGAGGAAACTGACATCNATTATTTAATATCTTAATTTGTTGACATCTTTCCATTTAGTTTTGAATTGGTACTACATTCACATGGCTCAGAATCAAAACATAAAAGGTGTAAACTGTATCTTGTTTGTTTCATTTAGTATCACAACTTGAAGGTGTTTCCATAGCAGCTGAGAGCAATCTTTGAGGAAGGAGGGGTTATTGCCTCCATCACAGATGAGGAAACTGACATCATTTTCCCAGTGAGCCAAAGCAGTGGTGTTAGAACCGCCTCTACCTGGCTCCAGAGCTCGCGTTTATGCCCATGCACTGATGAGGCCTTCCACAAAACCCAGCCCAGAGAGCTTTGGGCATGCAGGCCTGGCCTTCTCAGGGTAAGAGGTAGGGAGGGGGCTGTCAGGGTCCTCACTGTCTGGATCCAGAAACCCCAAAGAGAGGATGAAGTGTGGAACAAAGAATGTCCCAAGTCATCCAGATAGGGACCTAAGAGAGGGTGTCCCCTGGATGGAACAGTGGGGACCTGGTGGCTGTGCCTACCAGCACTAGAGAATGTGCCAGGAACTCTGCCAGCCTTAGGTCATGCAGGTGGCAGGGGAAGTCAGGAGGAGGATGAGAGGCAGGAAGGGAAGCACGGCCGAGGAGACAGGCCCTGGGTGCAGGAGACGGCGGGGACCCCATGCCTGGAGCTCAGGGAGGAGGATTTGAAGGCGGAAGTGGCAATGAGATTTTAACTGCTTGTTTTCTGCTCAGCGAACTTCAGGGTTCCCTCTGGATCCTTGACCTGCTTCAGCTCACTGACTCACTGACTTTGGTCAAGTCATTTTCCCTCTCCATGCCTCAGTTTTCCCAGCTGCAAAATGGGAGATCAGAGATCTGGTCTTTAGGCGGCCTTGGAGTGCCCGACTCCACGGGGCCCCTCTCGCCTTGCTGACGGCATCTGGATCCTCCTTCTTTGATGAGAATGTCATTCACCCATCAGGGCCCTGGCCGCTCCTGAGTTACGGGATGAGCTTACAAATCCTCCACACTGCTCCCAGTCTGGAATCCTCCCCCTTGGTCCTGTGTCTCTCTCCTACCATCCCATCCTTCCAGGCAGATGTGGAGTCAGGACCATACCTGATGGGTCCCGGGGGAGGCCCTGGCCCCAGTCCGACATCCTCCTGCTGCTGCTATGGGGTCCCGCACAGT